GAGTTTGATCATTAGCTGTCTCTTCAGTGGTGAGCTGCTGGTAACTGTGGTGCAACAGTTCTCAACAGATTCACTTTATGCACATGTAGTGATTGGACCTCCAGATTCAAGAAAGCAGAAAGCTGCCACTGTATAGATGAATCTGAAAGTGATGCAACACTGACTGAGAACACAGAGTGCAGGATGCACATTTCAGACAGCAGGATATGGTTTGATAAGGTTATTCATAGACTAATACTAATAACTTCTTATGCAACGAGTATGTGGTGGCAGTATCAAGGTTTTAATGGTGGTTATTCTATATATTCTTTTCTTACTGTCAACAAATCCCATGAAACGATTAATATTATCCGACTGCCCTAACCTCAGCCCCATGCCCAGTTATGAGATTGTCACGGTATGATAACTATTATTATTATTATCATCAGTTACAGTGACCCTTAAAGGAATGGAAACAGAAGGAGTTTATGGTGATTTCACAAAACATTATGTCCTATAATTGTTTTAAAACAATAATTAAATGAAATAATACAATAGAATTCAGTATTTTTTTGAAAACACTGATGCGGTGGGTAGAATTCAATGCTGTAATAAGCATACACAGTTTAAGAATTGTACATTTTTATACCATGCAGCTATAAATTCATCAGGTCAGCGTGTTAATTTGTCCAGTTCTTTGATTTAGGACCAAATAACTGATGACATTCCCTTCACATCAGCTGCACTTAGTGCCAGCTGCCAATTAGCAAATGTTGGCATGCTAACATCCTAAACTAAGATGGTGGAAAACATCATACCTGCTCAATGTCAGCATGTTAGCACGCTGAAGTTAAAGTTTAGCTCAGAGCACCATTGTGCTGAGTACAGTCTCTCACAGCCACTAACATGGTCGGAGGTGGAGTCTTTTTCATTCTTGACTCAACTATTTTTGTCACTTTTCCAACAAATGTTGACTGTCCCCATATTTAAGCAACATCACATGTCCCTACTGTGACAGCCCGTTTCACTGATGTGGTCAGACAACACATCGTCTGAACTAGTCCCGATTGAGCGTAACCCAACCCGTAGTCTTGTTTCTAAAGGCTCGGTGATTGAATAGAAGAGCTGGGCATTGTAGAGCCCAGCAAGAGGAAATCGTTCACTTGTTGACGACTGTTTTCAGTTGTGGAAAGTGCATCAGTGTGTGTGGGACTGAGTCAAGACTGTCCCCAATCAGACCACATGTCCATATGTTAGTTATTGTCTTCAGAAACAATGATAATCATGCTATTGTTCTCCACACACTGAATGGAGGCTGGGCTAACTGGGGGGGGTAGAGGTTTATGGGAAAGTGGGTTACAGAGGAGGAGGAGGAGGAGGCCAGGATTGAAGAGCCATAGGGAGTATTAAGGGAAAGCCACTCAGAGACAGTTGGTAAATCAGTCAGTCAGAGAACCAGTCAGCTGTTAAATCACCCAATCTGTAAACGTATTATTGTCTGACCTTTCAAACAAATAGATTCTGGACTGGGGCAGAAATTTGCACTAATATTGAAATGTTATCTGGGCACCTCTTTAATTGAGTGTTTTGATTGATTGGAAATCAACATAGAGTGCTTGTTGCTGATAATTTGCAGTTGAAAGATAGTGGAATAGTGTTAAGATGAGGTGAGGACTTAAGAAAGGTTCAAACCTGAAATGTGAAAGGGTTTGAAGATGTCAGTTGGAGTGTAACCACTGAAGCAGATGAAGTCTTGGTTAAAGAATTCAGTTGTTTCGGCTCCGTTTCAGTGAGCAGAATACGCTTCCCCAGCCAGATGAAAGTCTGTTTTCTTGCCTCTTTATATTTGGAATAGTTTCCGTTGGAGGTGAATTGAGCTCTGGTATCGGACAGACGTCATGATGTCACAGTAGGTCAGCTGGACAGCGTTACACACCCCCTGTTCACATGCAGATCAGTCTGGCACTGGCTGACTTGTGTCGATGTGGGCATAAATTCTTCCCCAGCACAATTGCTGTCCTGTACTCGGGGTGTGTGTGTGTGCAATGATCTTTGTCTCAAATGGCCACAAATAATGTCAGTCTACGTGTGTGTGTGTGTGTGTGTGTCTCCATAGTGACCCCAGCCCAACCAATCAGAGGTTGAACAAGAATGTGAACAATGACGTGTCGCTTCGCCTTCACAACCTTACCGTTCTCACCAGACACATCAGGACGTACTACCAGGTATGCACACACACACACACACGCACTTTTCTTTTTCTTTTTCACACGTGCAAAAAAGTCTTAACATGTATAATTGTTGCTCCATATTGGAGGAGTGTCTGGCTGCAGTCTGCAGAATGGGGCAGGGTTCTGTGTCCCAACGTTTAATTCCTCCCACTGTGGTTTGATTGGTTCAGCTGTTACATTTTGGGCATGGCTAGACTAGTTGTGAACATAGAGCTTCCATTTGGATAAAACAAAGCTAGACACATCTCCGTTATCTGAGTTAGCAGCACTGTCAGAGTGCTGGGAGCGCAGAGCTTTAGACCGCCGTGGGGAGGAGGTTTTCAGGCTTTAGCAACAAGCATCGTCCATCAGATCACTGAGTGTTGAGGCAGAGCAGCCAGAGGGAAAACCAGAAAATATTTTTCCTGTCAATGAAGTTATTGTGATTTTGTACAGTTAAACAGAGAAGCCCAGCCCCCAGAAACACAATGCTCTGACTGACTGTTGTTTCTACAACCTAATTCTTGTCTCATTTGTGGTCTAATAAACAGTATATTCATCAAATATCCGTATCATTAGTTTCCCCAAAATCAGTGAATTAAGTTATTACGTTTTTTTTTTTTTTTTTTTTGTACATTCAGGCCCGAAGTGTAACAGGCGTTATCTGACATAACCAGCCTGCAGCCACATTCTGTATTACTGAACTGTTCCTTGGTTTGCTCTGTGTGTCTTTCCGTTTGGAGATATAGTTGTTACTGTACCTTCAGCTGATTTACTTTGCCTGGGGCGTGAAAATGTATGAGTGTGTGTGTGTGTATTTAGTTTGTCTTTTATCGATCATCATTGTCGTGTGTGTGTCTTCTGACGTGTCTATTTCAAATTGGACATTACAAACACGAACCGGCCCTGAATGCAAACACACAACAGCACATTCATATACATCCCTAAACCACATCAGCGGGTTTGTGCGTGTGTGTCACTCATGGCCTGTATTGATGGTGGTATACATCAGTATGGATCAACCTTGAACTTGCTGGCCAATCATTTTTTAGCCTACTTGCTTGAAGACCAATAATCTGCACTGATCAATACAAGCAGGAAGTAACCCAGTGAGGTCAGATGATATTATGCAAATGTCACACCCAATGTGCATGTATGACCATCCTCTCAAAGCTAATCACAGCCGTTGGTCAGATGCATAAATCCTGTGTGTGCGTGTGTGTGCACGCATAAACTGTGTCTTTTGTATAAATCCGAGATCAGGAGCTCAGATGCAGTTGATTTGGCTGAGCTGCGGTCATGTCCTGCTGACACACACACACTTCCTCTAAGCTAACCCCACACAGTGAGGGGAGTGTTTTGCTTGCTTGCATGGAGTTGTTGGGGTCTCTAGGAAGTGTGCTAATTTGCCTGTTATGTATGTTTAAGGAAGTTTAAAGTTGTACACTGGAGGATTTGTTTAATATGTTTAACTTTTCACTGATGATGAGAAGATCGGATACCCCTTAAGCTTTTGTTGGGTTTAGGGATGGTGATAAACAAGGTTATATTTAGAAAACTGACATATAGTACTTTTATTACCTTGACAGTAATAAAGTAAATCAAACAATACAAACACGTGGTGTGTGTGGTGGTTAGTGGTTTGTGGAGCGTAGCAGTTCACTAGCACTGATCTTGGGCCTCAGTGTGATTCAAAACTGTAAATAGGGATGCACCGATCTAAAAATTTTGATACCGATATCCGATATTGTAATTGTTGCTGTGTTATGGCCGACCTAACCGATATTTACCGTTATCGATAAATATGTTTTTTTTTTTTTAAAGTACTGAGATGAAATTTTGTTACAGGCTGGAAAATCCAATGGCAAACTGATTTTTTGAAATTGCCTTCCTTTTAATTTTCAGAACGTATTTAACTTCCAAATAAAATGGTTCAGGGCCCCTTACCATAAACATAATATACCAACCCTTTTACCGTGTGTTACCATCATCAAACATGCCAGTTTTTCAATGCAAACCAAGTGTTCAGTCTGTGCACCCCAATTTAAACCCCAAAACTTGTGGAAAAAGGCTAAACAATATCCAAAACATGTCCTGACCTGTGTGCCAATTTTCAACTGCCACTGTATGTTTGCATCATCATTCAGTTTATTAATCAAATTTCCATAAACCGGGTTGGGTTAATTGACCTGGCTTTTGCGCTGTTCCTTGCAAACCTTTCTTGGTCTGGTCGGAAGACCCTGCTGTACTGGGCTCCCAGCTGGCAGCTGCTGCTGCTTTCGTTTGAGCTAACGTGTCGGCGGCAACCGTTTACACATATTGCTTCTGCCAGTTGTTCGTGTTAGTTCTTGGTGCGGTTTTAAAATGACAGTATTAATTTTGTGGTTTGAATCAATTGACGCAGCAATCCCCTCCTCGCATATACCGTCGACTGTGCAGGTGTTGCATAGCTGCCTTTTTCGAAGTGTTTTCCCCTTTGACACCGGTGAAAAACGCCCCACACCGCTGGACAATTTTTCTCCTCTTCCCAGTTTAACATCCCACCAACCCTGTGCTGCCACGTCGCGTGTCCAACAAGATACACAATGGCCAAAGGAAAGATGGTATCTAAGTAAAGATTGTCTTATGAATCATTTGAGAGGAAAGACAATCAAATCAGAGCTTTGTGTAATAGCACTTTTCATAACAAACAAATGTCTGTGTGACTCTCAAATTCAAAAAGCACAACGGACCCCCCAGCTTTATTCTTGGAGCCTTTTCAAACTGAAGGAAGACGGGTGAGATGGTTGTTTGACCAACAACCATGACCGCGGCTTTTTAACAGACCAGGGAGAAGGAGCAGAGGAAGAGGACGAAGACGCAATGTTACCTGGATCCAACTTTAGATCAATGTCAAAGTTATGAAACCCAAAGCTTTCAAAGTAATCCTTGTTACAGGGCTCATTCCTGTTGGCCTCCTTTTTCATGTCTAGGAAAACAAACCCGAGATAGTGTTCGTAGCTTGTGCTGTAAATTTGAGATGAAGCAATGGCCGTTAAGTCCACCAGTAAACACTGACAATATTGGTCAGAAAATATCACATGTAGATATAACTTCTGCCTAGCCAAAATGTAAACCAAAGACTCATTATTATGTCAAAACAGAAAGTGCTCGAGATAATATAGAATCCTGTCAGTCTAACATTAAATCAGTGTAGCTCATGCAGTCCAGAACACATAAAGACCCAACATCGCTTAACGTGTTGTTGTGTATACAGACACCACATGAAGGCTGGGTCCATCGGGCAGTATGGGTTAATCTTCCATGATGGAAATTCTCTAACCACCAGTCCAATACCCTGGCTTAACACCACCACTCCAACCCACCGACACTGAATGCACACCTCCTTCCATAGTCGAACCTTCGAGTCCAATGAGTTACGAGCTGTAGAAGCGAACTAGGTTTTACCGGATCAGCTGCAAAGACCAAACCACACAACACACACATCCAGCTGTCCATATGGGCTTGGTGCGCTTCCTCCTAATTAAGAATATGTTCTCGGCAGAACAATACAGACTGTTAACTGAACCTCCCAGTCTCCCCAGGTGACAAAGACTAACAAGTTTTGTGTGAAGTGGTGTCGAGATGAGAGAGGAGGGGGTCCGTCACCTTCCCTTCTGTTCCTCCTCCTATAAGACAC